TACTTGGAGCTGGTGTACTTGGTGACGGCCTTGGTGCCCTCGGACACGGCGTGCTTGGCCAGCTCGCCGGGCAGCAGCAGGCGCACGGCCGTCTGGATCTCCCGCGACGTGATGGTCGAGCGCTTGTTGTAATGCGCCAGGCGCGACGCCTCGCCCGCGATGCGCTCGAAGATGTCGTTGACGAAGGAGTTCATGATGCCCATGGCCTTGGACGAGATGCCGGTGTCGGGGTGCACCTGCTTCAGCACCTTGTACACGTAGACCGAGTAGCTCTCCTTGCGGCTGCGCTTGCGCTTCTTGCCGTCCTTCTTCTGCGCCTTGGTCACCGCCTTCTTGGAGCCCTTCTTCGGGGCGGGCGCGGACTTGGCCGGCTCGGGCATGGTAGGAATTACAAGGGCAAAAAAAGGGGGAGACTAACAGACACAGAACAAAGGGAAAATCCCGGGTATTTATAGCACCTATATGCAAAGACTCACAAATCTAAACTCTGATTGGACCAAATCTGGCCAATATATTGACAGTATATATATTAGGTATTCCCAAACTCCTTTTCTATTGGATGAAAACAAATACTTCCAGGGAATCCGATAAACAAAATCAGTGTTTAAAAAATGTCCTGATAAAACATGTTTTAATTTTTTGAAAATAAGTGGAAAGCCAAGGAAGAAAATCCTGTCATCTAGCCGAGTCCAGCCCTGAGCACAGGTCCCTAGGCTTCGTCACCAGCTGTGCAGGACACCCCAGGTCTGTCGCCAGAAGCACTTGAAGGAAATGTCACCGAGGACTGGGTCGCTGCCATCTGTTCCAAGGTTGCGCATTGCAAACGCTTTTTTAACGGTTCCTTTTTACAGCCCAGCTGACATTTTAAATGCATCCCGATCAAAAGGCAGAGTTCAATTTCCATTTTGAGTCAAACCCGCATTGAAAGCGCCAGGGATTCCAGGAAATCGGAAATCTGCGTGCACCCTGAATGACGCAAAATTCGCAAAATTCGCGTCTCAGCGGTTTTTGAGCATGAACTAGGAATTTCCTGAAAATCCAGTGAAACCTCTCGTGAGAGGCTCCGGCGATGGATTTTTAAATAGGGAGAAAGGGCGGGTAAAAAGAGCTGGATGAAAACGGGTTAACTGTGCACAAAATGGCGGGCGTTGTTTTTTTGGGGGGGGGGTAGTGTTTGTTTTTTTGTTTTCAAAAAAGACCCCACGAATTTAAAGCACTGTCTCTTTCAAACACATTTTTTTCCCAAGCAGGAGAAAAGCTTAGGAATATTAAACGTGTCTGTGGGTCACGCTTTTGTGGATGCAGAAAAATGATACATAAAACCTATAACTAAGGGAACGGTTTTATTTAAGGGGCTGCGATGACGTCGGCAATTTCAAAGTAACCAATCAGAGGCTTGCACCAAACGGAGGCAGCCACCCTAATACGCTCCGAGCACTTCCGGAATTTAGATCGAGGCGCCCGACGGGAACTGCCAACAATCCAATCAGAGTAATTCTGTTCCTGTATAAATAGAGCGTCCAGACCTTCACTCCAGTCCACTTACTTTGTAGCTAAAGCCATGGCTCGGACGAAGCAGACGGCGCGCAAGTCCACGGGCGGGAAGGCGCCGCGCAAGCAGCTGGCGACCAAGGCGGCCCGCAAGAGCGCGCCGGCCACGGGCGGCGTGAAGAAGCCGCACCGCTACCGGCCCGGCACGGTGGCGCTGCGCGAGATCCGCCGCTACCAGAAGTCCACGGAGCTGCTGATCCGCAAGCTGCCCTTCCAGCGCCTGGTGCGCGAGATCGCGCAGGACTTCAAGACCGACCTGCGCTTCCAGAGCTCGGCCGTCATGGCGCTGCAGGAGGCGTGCGAGGCCTACCTGGTGGGGCTCTTCGAGGACACCAACCTGTGCGCCATCCACGCCAAGCGCGTCACCATCATGCCCAAGGACATCCAGCTCGCGCGCCGCATCCGCGGGGAGAGGGCGTAAATTGTCGTTACTAGCGAACGTTAACAGTGAACCCAAAGGCTCTTTTCAGAGCCACTTACAGTTTTAGCTGAAGACCTGTGAGCAAAGGAGATGAACCTGTCCCCAAAACAAGGCGGTGAGGGGGAGGGTAGTAGGTAGGGCAGCTGCATGGGAGTGGCCCTGGGGCCGCCCACCCACCTCGCTTCACCCGAGCGCACCACGTACTGCGTTCTCCAGCCAGGCCTTGGTCTGGAGCAGCAGCCCTAGTGGAGTGCGCGGCTCTGATAGTGATGCAGCTGCGCACAGCACTACAGCACCAAATGAGGCGTGGAGTGGTAGCTAAAGTCCTACCAGGAGTTCGGAGCTTGTTGCCCCAAATTACTGCAAGCTCATTGTGCAGAATATCTGCACCCTGCTAAAGCTGAATAACCCTTTTTGCTGGAAATCCTCAGTGAGACAGCATGGTTACATAGCTCTGTACATGGGATAAGGTTGCATAGGGCTAACCACACATACCCAGATTAGAGCATGTAAAGCTGGTGAGGACTGATTAAGGCCTGCACTGTAGCCTAGTTAACAGTATTTTGCCAAAGTCAATCGCCTGGTTTTAATATATAGGATGTCACCATTAGGGAACATTGGGTTCAATGGACTTAATTTGAAACTAGCAAAGCTGTACCAGTTCTTTAGCAGTTGCTACCTTGTATTGCTTAGGTTTCTATGACTTGCTGAACAAATGTTTTTTCATATAAACTGCAGGGAGAGGGGTGGGCTTTGTTCTGGGTATTCTAGTGGTGACATCCATTTGGCTGACGTTTCATTTATGTTGGTATATAATTTTGTAGATATTGCTGTTCCTACCAAAAAGTAAACTTCGTTTCAAAGGTTGAGATCTGTAATCTCAAATTTTCTGATGGGTTCTTGGCTGAGTTAATAATCCATGGTGTTTAGAACAGTGTGCTTGGTACATCATAAGCGTACAATGTTAAGGGACAAAAACCAAAGGCCCAAAATGGCATCACTGGTGCTAAAAGCCCAAGATACCAAACCTACATTTAGTATCTGATCTAATTGCACTTTCAATCCCACCCAGAAGCATAATTTCAATCAACCAGCCTGAAATTTTTCTGGTCAGAGCACCAGTAAGGTGATTCTGTTCAGTTCATCTTTCTAAACTAGCTTTCTTAACTGTAAAACAAGCATTTCAACTATACCTAATGCAAATGCTTTATAGTGAGGCAGTCCTAGAAGTGCTTTGGAAACTGTAAGGGACTAGAGATAGTGTATACTCATTTTGAACAATCATTGAATGTCAAATTCCCCTATAACTTTTATTACTCATCCCTCTTCATCAAAAGCCTAACTCTCTCATTCTGGTTATTAAACACCTCACAGCTGTTTTCCCACCTATTCTACTCCATGCAATCTCTAATTTTAAAAAAGATTATTTTGAGTAACTACTTTACATTCCCCCAGTTACCCAGGTCTTCTTTCTTAAGCAAGCCACTCTCCCGTGGAAGGAGGCAGAAATTGTGGGATGCAGCTGTGACTGGGAAAAATTGAACTCCTGGTTAGAAAAGGTAGAAAGATACAGGCTACAGGCTTACATGCCCTCCCTTTTAAAAATAAGTTTAAATAGTAAAATGTAAGAAATTATTATCCAATAGGGGGTGCTGTAAACAAAGAATAAGGTGAAGAGACATTCCAGTCACAAGATACTTGTGCCCCCTGGCAGTGGGCTCAGGAGCTTGTGACCTGTTTTTACTGTGGACTCACTCTATGGATAGTCTGAGGCCTACATCCACCTTTTCAAATGGATGTTTAAGATACTTAATGCATATAGAATAAGAAAATCAGCAAGATTAAAATTGAATGTATTTGAGTTTATAAAACACTGTGTGTCATTAGTAACACATCAAATAACAAGAAGCAGCAAGGGATAGAATATCAGTTTCAATATTCTCAGTAACCACAGTGATACCAAGAAAAACCTATGATTGCCCTTGTTGAATAAGTCACAGGTACTGCAAAATCCATTGTGATTAATTGCTTACATGCATAGTTGAAAGAAATGCTAAATTACATTTAGTTTTTGAAAATAGTTTCTCCCCATCCACGTTTACAGCCCCAAATGGTCTGTAGAACTCAGATTTTGTCAGATTTGCCAGTAAACTTAAGTGGGCTTCCCTGAAATAAAATAAAAACCTCAGTCCCAGAGATGAAGTGGGAATGGTGAGACATGCAAGTGAACACTTCTTCTGAGAGCCCCTCTTGTGCCCTAGTCACCCCAATTCCAGGAGCTCCCTGCCAGCCACGCTGCCTTCCAAAACGTTTTTGTTTTTTCCCCCTCCCAATTCATTGTCTGCTCAGCAGGCAACTATGGCTCTCTAGATCCTTGCAACACTCAGTGGGGAAGGAATCAGGCTAAGAGGGCCCAATACAAACCACCAGAGTGGGGTGGTTTACACTTTCACGGTCCCTTAGCCTCGGGGTGGCAGCTCAATTATCTGCAGAATAACAAGAGCTTGCATACTCCCGGCCAAGAGAACTTTACTGACCTCAAGGAAAAGAATCTAAGCTTTTCAGCGGCCTCTGAATATACACAAGACAGTATATCTCAGCCTCGAACTGGTGCTCTCCAGCCCATGCCCGTGAGTCCACCAGTACGTTGATTAGCTCCCAATACCCTCTGCAAACCAACAGAAAAGGAAAGTTTAGGAAACATCGAGGCTGGAATAACCCTCTCCTCAGGTTGGCTTCTTACAAGTTACACTTTTTCTCTTTAACGTGTCGGGGCGCCGGAAGTAAGGCGGCAGGACGTGCGCCAAGGCGCCACCTGCAGCTGGCCGGCCGCAGTGACCCGCGCTCCACACGCTGCTGGGGCCGTTTGACCGCAGCCCAGGGCGGTGTCCTACCCAAGACCAACCCCATGGCCTAGGGAAGGTGAAGGTTAGACCACTATCCCTGCGCCAGAAGCCAAAGGCTGTCCAGAAACACCAGATTTTAAGAGGACTATGACCACGATCATGTAGGATTTCTGGAAACCCAACCGCCCATGGTCATCTTCCTCCCCTCCCCCTTCCCTCACCCCACCCCCCGCTTAAGTGAATCGGTAACTTTATGGAAAACACTTTTTCTATGCGGTTACGCTCTTTTTCCTGAAATTAGTGGGTGGCTCTGAAAAGAGCCTTTGAGATTTTCAAAGCTGGACCTCCCGCTGTAACTTTACTTCCTCCTAGGCGCAGCCTTCTTCGCCTTCGTAACTTTCGGTTTGGCAGCTTTAGGCTTGGCCGCCTTGGGCTTAGGGGCTTTGGCCTTAGCTGGACTCTTAGCCGCCTTCTTGGGCTTGGCTGCTTTCGGCTTTTTCGGACTCTTGGCCGCTTTCTTGGCTCCTGCCGCCGCCGCCGGCTTCTTCTTCGGGGTCTTCTTGGCGCTCTTCTTGGGGGTGGCGGCCCCCGCAGCCTTCTTGGCCTTCTTGGCGGCGCCCGCGGGCTTCCTGGGCTTGGCCGCGCCCGCCTTCTTGGCCTTGGGCTTGGCGTCGCCGGAGGCCGCCTTCTTGTTGAGCTTGAAGGAGCCCGAGGCGCCGGTGCCCTTGGTCTGCACCAGGGTGCCCTTGCTCACCAGGCTCCTGAGGCCCAGCTTGATGCGGCTGTTGTTCTTCTCCACGTCGTAGCCCGCGGCCGCCAGCGCCTTCTTGAGCGCGGCCAGCGACACGCCGCTGCGCTCCTTGGACGCGGCCACGGCCTTGGTGATGAGCTCGGACACCGGCGGCCCCGACGCCTTGCGCTTGGCGGCCGACGCGCCGGCTTTCTTCGCCTTCTTCTTAACAGGTGTTTTCTCCGCAGGGGCGGGAGTAGCAGGAGCCACTGGAGCGGTCTCCGACATTTTTCAGTTTTGCCAGAAAAGACAAAAAAAANAAAAAAAAAAAGACTTGAACTGTCAGAGCGGCGAGGCCCTGCGCGGGCGGCGGGGTTTATATAGCGAGGCGCTGGGTGGTGATTGGCTGCCGGCTCCGAGCGCCGCGCTGCCCAGAGGCTCCTCCGCGCCGCCGGGAGGCTGTGTTTCTTGTCCCTTAAAAAAGAAGAAAAATATAAGAAATCTGTGCACGAAATAATTAGAGATTTGGGGGAAACGGATCCGACAGTCTTCAGGCTTCCTTCCTGCCTTCTTTCCCGAGCCTAGTTTCACAGCTGGCACCCTGAAACTTTTCTGATTCCCCCAACTCGCTTTAAAACTTAGGTCAAACTCAGACAACTTTCAGATTTTCCTTAAAAATGCGACTTCTCTCTGTTTCCTTTGCAAATATTTTTTCCAGGACATAGTTCTGCACATTCTTTTCTTTGCAACTTTGTGTAAATAAACTGATCTCTACTCAAATATACAAGGGAAATCGGTTTTTTTCGCAGGAGCAATAGCACAGCTCGCTTGCAAGTTGTTTGCCCTGAGCACTGGGAATTGGCGGTGGGGGAGAAAAGTCTGCGTACACGATGGGCAACTAACTATATTAGAAAATATATATATATTTTTAAGTATTTGAGTGACCACTGTGTAAACTGGGTTTGATCGTAGTATTTTTGCAAGAATGGGGCTCCATGCGTGCATTTTTTAAATAACCAGTTCTAACTAGTCACCAACCTTCTCTTTAAAAGGAGCCCAACTGATTCTTCAGACCTAGAGTGGGCATGAGAGGTCAACCACCCTACCCACAAAGAAGAAAGGGCGAGTAACGATGCAACAGAATAACAGTGCCCCATCAGTTTACCAGCTGTGAGCTGAAGAACACTGCAAGATCACCTGCTTTTCATCTCATCCCCTTAAACTTGTAAATTCCTTAATGACAGACACCCTATCCATCAGATTCCCCCCTCCAAAATTTAGCATAGAGTTTTGTACCTATTTCCTACATTTCAAGATAGTATTTAAAATACAAAATTGATTTGACCTTTTTTATCATTGCAAGTTGGCACACAGAGGATTAGAAAGAAACATTTGGCATTTAAATCACTGTGTGAATTTTCATATTTCTCCCTGGGCTTTTTACTAACAAAATGTGAACTAGGCTGTCACAACCTAAATCAATCAGCAGAACATGTCCACCTAAGGACCTGAACAAACATTTCATCGCAAGCATGACTGACTCCCACTCCATCTCTTTGTTTGAAACACAGCAGAGCTAATAGAATTCAGCAAATATTGGATAACTAAGCACAAATTAATATTACCCACTGAATATTCAGGTACTGAAACTAAACTTCATGTTTGTCAAAAGAAATAAACAAGAAAAGTATTTGGGTGTTATGTTTCTTCTAATAAATGCCTGGATCTCCAAAAGTCTAGTTATTCTGGCTTAGATTCTGCATGGTTTGAGAACTTTCTCATGTAAATCCAAGATAAAATAACCAACTTCAAAGGTGTCCCAATTAACTAATTTCATAAAAATCACTTAACTTGTTTTAAAATAGTCATTTATTGGCAGGCACTGACTGGAACCAAGTCTCTGGGGCTTGAGACAATGTTATACAAATACTGTGTATAAAGAAGTAGGCTTATAGGATTGGATCTTCCCCACTCTCATTCTTCCTAGGCAGGGATTTCATGGGTCTCTACAGGAAGGGGCTGTTATCCTCAGTAGTATCATTACCAATAGCAGTGATCACATTCTATAGGCCCTTTCCCTTTTCATCCTAGAGCCTAATATTATCTAGACCTAAAGATACAATTAAAATTCAGATTTCTAAAAGTTTACAATTTGGGTCATCATTGTAGTCATACTATCGTTGAAAATTGTGTGAATTTTTCCCTAAATTACATACACTAGATATAAGATGGGTGGGAGCCTGTCCTAGAGCAGATGTCCCTATCTCATTCACGTGTCCTTCCTGAAGGGCAATCATTGAGATAATTGCTTTCACCAGAAGAGTTCTTCTTTCGTGTTTATAGGAGGGTGGGGCTGTGCTACACACAGTTACTGTTATTGCTTGAGACTCAGGCACTTCTCTCTGGGACTGAATGGAGCGTGCACGGGGTTCTCGAAAGCTGGATTATGCCCCATGGGACTGGAAACTGGAAAACTTTTCCCTATTACTTTGGTAACACACAAAAAAATTGTGCTTTTGCTTTTGAACTCTAAATCCATATGTATCTTAAAACAGTGGATTTTCCACTATGCTAAGATGTGACCCATTTACTGTATAGATGTATAAAGTAACCAAGCGAAACTACAGATAAGTGATGGATACCTCCCTCATGAATTTGTGTTCTCTCAGTTGTGGTGGTAAATCCCCCCCCCCCCCCCC